GTTTTTTCAAAAAGGTCTCAAAGACTTTAGAGTCAGACCTGTTACAGATCGTCAACTTTTCTTTATTATCAGGTGTGTTTCCAGAATCACTAAAAACTGCTGTAATCAAACCTATACTGAAAAAGGACAATCTTGACAAGACACAAATGAACAACTACAGGCCGATCTCAAATCTCCCGTTTTTAAGTAAGATCATTGAAAAAGCAGTTTCTCAACAGCTCAGTTACTTCTTAAAACAGAATAACTGCTACGATGCCTTCCAGTCAGGTTTTAGACAGAACCACAGCACTGAAACCGCTCTGACCAAAGTGTTTAATGACATATGTCTGAATACAGACAGTGGAAAAATGTCAGTCTTAGTTTTACTGGATCTCAGTGCAGCATTTGATACAGTTGACCACAACATATTACTCAAACGACTGGAGAACTGGACAGGTCTTTCAGGAACTGTACTAAACTGGTTCAAAACATACTTAGAAAACAGGAAATACTTTGTATCAATAGGTAACTTCACATCTGAGCAGACAAGTATCACATGTGGAGTTCCCCAAGGTTCCATCTTGGGACCCCTTCTGTTTAACATTTACATGCTCCCACTGGCACAGATTATAAAGAACAACAAAATAAACTACCACAGCTATGCAGATGACACACAAATATATATCACAATGTCACCAGGAGACCGAGGCCCTGTACAGGCTCTTGGTAAATGCATTGAGGAAATTAATGACTGGTTGTGCCACAATTTTCTCCAGCTAAACAAAAACAAAACTGAGGTAATAGTCTTTGGCGCCAAAGAAAAACGATTACAGGTCACCAGAGAACTTCAATCTATACACCTAAAAACCACAAACCAGGCGAGAAATGTGGGTGTAGTGATGGATGCAGACCTAAACTTAGAAAAACACATTAAGACAATAACAAAGTCAGCTTACTATCACCTCAAGAATATTTCAAGGATAAAAGATCTGATGTCTCAACAGGACCTGGAAAAACTAGTCCATGCATTCATCTTTAGTAGGCTTGATTACTGTAACAGCATCTTTACAGGTCTACCTAAAAAATCAGTCAGACAACTACAGCTCATTCAGAACTCTGCTGCTCGAGTCCTCACTAAGACCAAAAAAGTGGACCACATCAGTCCAGCTCTGAGGTCTTTACACTGGCTGCCTGTACGTCAGAGGATAGACTTTAAAGTTCTGATGCTGGCCTATAAAGCTCTGAATGGTTTAGGACCAAAATACATCAGTGACCTCCTGACCCAGTATGAACCTTCCAGATCCCTCAGGTCATCTGGATCCGGTCTTTTATCAGTTCCCAGAGTCAGAACCAGACACGGAGAAGCTGCATTCAGCTTTTATGCTCCATATATCTGGAACAAACTCCCAGAAAGCCTCAGATCAGCTGAAACACTCAGTTTATTTAAATCCAGGTTGAAGACTCACCTGTTCTCAGCTGCATTTGAATAAAGCACCAAATCCACACTTTAAGCTTAAATTTCAAAACTTACATTTAACTACTGATTTTATCTACTGTTCTGATTTTATCTGTTTTGATTTTATATACTGTTGTTTGTTTGTTTGTTTGTTTGTTAATTAGTTAGTTAGTTTATTTGCTTGTTTTAATCAATTTTAAATCATGCTTTTTATTTGTTCTTGTTTCTAATGTCTCTGTAAAGCACTTTGAATCACCTTGTTGTTGAATTGTGCTATACAAATAAACTTGCCTTGCCTTGCCTTGTACATTTAGTCAGGGCAGTGCAGAGATGTTTAAAGGGGCGGGTGCTCACAGTCAAAAAGGGCACATAGAAGCAGGCTGAAGAACAACAACCCACATTCATCAAGAATCTAATATGGAATCGCATCACACTACATCACTGTCATCAGGTGGGCACAATGCAAAGCAAACGTAGCCTATGTTTTACCTGATGGGGTACAATGTTGCTGTTTGGGGGGTTGCTTCTGCTCTTGCTGCTGATAGTGCTGGAGGGCAGGGCTGTGTTGATCTGAGACTGTAGAGATTAAACAGTCCACAGGAGAGAGGGTAGCTGATTAAACAAGTGTTATGAGATAATAATAAAACGCAAAGATTGTTGCCTTATGGTTCCAAGCGTGGTGACCAAAACTGTGGGAAATAAACTAAGCTCTGCCTGTGAATCACTCTTTGCCTCTCTTCTTCCTTCCATCTCCTCATCTCATCTATCACATTCCACTTGCTGTCCATCTGAGAACGAGGCACAGTTTGCTATTTAATTCATCTATTATTTAATTATACATTTTAACAACTCTTGCACCTAATCCATAATAAAGCAATGATAGAAAAATGTTATGGAACCAAAACTTTGTGTTTATTATGTCTGTGAAGGTTCTCAGTCATCCAGGTCATCGTAGTCAAATGAGCTTGCAAAGAAAAGCGTCTGGACTTCTTTAAGTTGCTTGAAGACGTTTCACCTCTCATCCGAGAAGCTTCTTCAGTTCTAAGGTCAAATGGTGGGGAGTCCCAGATTTAAACCTAGTGGGAGTATCCCCCCACAGAGGGACAAAAGGACCCCCTGATGATCCTCTAATCGCCTGAGCCAAGGTATGAAAGCCAAGGTGGCTTGCCTGTTCCATTTGCCCATTAGTTTGAGATGGAAACCGGATGGTAAGCTGACTTGAGCCCCTAGTTCCTTGCAAAACTCTCTCCAAATCCCGAAGGATTAATAAAGTATTCTGATTTACTTTATTAAATCTTTAATTTATTCAGTATTTGTTGTTTAGGTTGTCTTGGTTAGTATTTGGTCCCGTTCATGTCTTTGTCTCATGTCTTCTCTCGTCCCTTGCTCTCTGTCCTTTTTGCTCTGCTGCAAACAGAAGCAGAGAAAACTGGAGCTTCTGGTCTTGGCCAGATCATTTCAAAGTCAATGAGACTTTTTACCAGATAAATAAATAAAGAATATAAAAGTCTTCTACTTTATGATGGAAATGTTCTTCCTGGCTCAAAATGACATCATTTATCTGAATCTGTAGAAGAAGAAACAATCTCGGAAAGTCACTTTACTCTGTGTCTCACTGGATGTTCAAAGTTTTTCACAAAAGAGAAAAAGAGAAGCATTCTTTGATTTTAGTCTGTTTGCCCACAAGCTGAGTCCTGCATGAGTCAGTGTTATTTCACTGAGACCATCACAGTTTTACACACCTGTTCTGTATGACTTTGTCTCAGGTTTGCGGTGATATCCAGCACTCTGAGCTGATGGCAGATCTGGTCAGTCCACAGTAGCTTCAACCACTAAATTAGCTCTAACACATCACCAAACCAAAGTCTTCCAGCTAAGAGTACATCAAAGGTGAAAAGCGAGATCTAGAATGTCATCATTTCTGCTCTCCTCTTTCTTCTTCTTCTTCTTCTACTTCTGGACTGCACACATCTGTCGCTGCCCCACTCAGGTCGATCTAATGAAAATCAGCCAGAAATAATAAACAGAAATCCAAATGTAGAATTTATAGTTCCCCATTGATGCAATTTGGGTATTAATTAAGAAGCAGTCTGTAATGCTCACCCCAGCATAGTTGAAGCAGATCATCAAAGCATGCTGAACACTTTCTACCATTCCACATGTGCATTTTCTATCCAGGTACTGAACAGCACCAAACCATAATTTTGAATCCATGGCTTTAATCTGGTGAAAATCACCCTACCCCTACTGTTCATTGTTACACACAACAGATGGTGTTTCTGTATCTTAATATATGACTGAATGAAAAGTAATGACAACCGTTATTTTCAATCTTCCATTGCTTCTACCTGTTGTTTCTCTGTATTATTGTCGGATCTTTACCTTCAAATAAAGTGCCTTCAATATAAACTGCCTTGAGGTAACTTGTTGTAATTTGGTGTTTTATTAAGAAAATTTAATTGAACTATTGTGGCAGAAAAGTTGGATGCAAACCAAGACTAAAAGTCCTCAGGCAGGAGTCATAGCTGGGCTTTAGCATCTGGGTCACCCACTTTACCCAGGGAGCTAAACCAGCATCTCCAACAGGTGATTTGTTTGTCTGGCAGTTTCAGGCTGGGAAAGCTTGTTAAACTTTAACAAAACATTATTTGGCACCAACGTGAATGATTTGGGTCATGTTTATCAAGTCTGAGTCAGGGAGCAAAGGTCACCTCCTTTATGCAGGATTTCACCTTATGCCAACAGGGAAAAAATCACGAGTTCTTAAACAAGCTGTAGGTCATGCTACTACACACATTTCAATATGTAAGCATTTCATCATGTTTTAGAGTCTCAGAGTTATTTCAGCCTCATCTTCACATATTTTCACAAATATTCACATTATCTCCGAGATCCAGTTGTGAATTTTTTTCCCTCAGTGTAACCGATTGCAACACAACAAATGACTGACCAGTGATTAGTGTTTTACAGTGATTACGACAGAAAGCCTGTTTCTGCCACTGGTGCCAAGCATTTGCTCTTTTCAGATTGTTCAATTGTGGAGGTTTTTACATTCTTTACCTTACAACATAAAGCACCTTGAGGCAACTGTTGTTTTTTGGCACTATATATAAATATAAATGAATTGAACTGGTAGCAACTTTATGAATGAGAAAATGAAAACAAGTGTCAGTCAGCTGGTTCGTGTCCAGCAGGAGGGGAGGAATCAGTGAGTCTGTTACTCCAGTTACTTACTCAGAGGTAAAGTTAAAGAAAACGAGTTTCCTTCATCTCACTAAACCTGCCCACTAAACATGACCCTGAATGAACCCATATGTAAAGGACTGTAGGTTTTAAGCAGGATGAGGAAATAGATGAAGAAAGTGGGGGAACTCTGACGACATCTAGTGGACATCTTGAAGATGACGGGTCTGAACAGAGAGCAATGCAGGTCTGTGGAGAAGATTGCAGCACACTGTGAAATATGAACTATGAATAATATCTACATCTGTAATGATGTAATCAAAATAGGCTCCATGTAGTTTAAGTTCTGTTACTGTACTTATGAAGCAAACTGCACACAGAGTTGGCAAACATTGAGTTTACTTGCATTTAGGCAAAATGATATAAACACTTATCATGACCCAATATAGCACATTTAACTGCTTTTATTTAGCAGGGATTACACAATAGATAAAATTAGTCACAAAATTTTAATCAAATCTTGCAACACGTTGCTAAGAAGAACCAGGACAACCAGGTCAAAGGCATACTGAAGTATAACCTTCATTAACATAAATCACAAAGAAAAAATATTTAAATAAAAATTGGATACTTTTTTTTTTATCTTTAGTCCTGTGTATTAAAACTTATTTATTGGCTGATAAAAAGGAATCACGTCATGGTTGTTACAAGGAACAAGTGATGAAAAACTCATTTTCATGTTTGTTTTCTTCTATACGAAGAAGAAATACAAGTTTCTGTGGTAAATATTAAAAGATGTTCAATAAATATTTGTGTCACCTTTAAAGACCAATAAAAAAATATCAAGCTTAGAGAAACATAAAGTCAGGGCTGGAATAAACAACAGAGTGCCCTTCACTGCTGTGGACAGAAAATGTACCGTGACTTGGAGCATGAGGTCATTTTCTACCTCGGGTGCTGCAGTGATTTGGTTTCTCACTCGGGTGGATCCTTAGATGAAAATTCAGTCCTGATTTCCAACTGAATCTTTCCCCACAGGAGCTACAAATATATGGTTTCTCACCTGTGTGGATCCTTCTGTGACTTTTCATAGTCGACAAGTCTCTAAACTCTTTCCTACAGACGTTGCAAGAATACGGTTTCTCACCGGTGTGGATTCTCAAATGAGTTTCTAGTCCCGATTTCTTACCAAATCTTTTCCCACATGTGCTACAGAAATACGGCTTCTCACCTGTGTGGATTCTCACGTGACTTTCAAATCCGGATTTCTTATTAAATCTTTTCCCACAGGTGATGCAAAAATATGGCTTCTCACCTGTGTGGATCCTTACGTGAGTTTCCAATCCTGATTTCCAAATGAATCTTTTCCCACAGGTGCTACAAGAATGTGGCTTCTCACTTGTGTGAACTCTCATGTGTCTCGTCAGGTTGGATTTACACTGAAAAGTTTTTCCACAAGTGTCACAGCTTACAGCTTTTTTACTTGTATCAGTTTCACTCCCAGACTTATCTGTTCTGTTTTTGTGACGTCTCCTTTTCTTCAGCTCCGCATTTCTAGTTGATCCCGAGTCCACATGCTGGTTTTCTTCCTGTTCCTCAAGCTCTGGTCCAGGAAAGTTAAGAGCAAGGAGCTCGTCATCGTTTGGTTCTGATTCACTGAGGTCACTTTCCTCAAAACTAGAAGTCACCATAAAACTATTGATCTCCTGCTTCAGTACAATCTCCTCCAGCTCCTGACTGGTGCAGAGTTCCTCCTGTTCCTCTTTAATCTGTGGAGGATCTGGGTCCTCCTGGTCCAGACTTGAGTTCCTCTCCTGCTGATTGGCGACAAACTCCTCCTCCTTACAGGTAGTTTGCTGGTGGAGGTCTAAACGAACAATAAAAAAAAATGTAATTATAGAAAAACACTTCTGAGAAGATAAAATAAAGTTTTAGTTAAAGTCTGTAATGAGGGCATGTTGCTCACATTTGCAGGTGAAATTAAAAGTGTGTAAAAAGGAAGTTATTTGTGCACTCTGATGCAAATGAGAACTTGAGTTCTGACATTTTTCAGCAACATTAAGAGTAAAAAAAACTTAAAACAAAAAAGAACTCACTTATTACTGACTGACTGATGATCTATTTTGGAGTTGATCTAGAAACTGATCTACATCTTGATATTTTTCAAAATAATCTTCACTATTGGGGGTGGCTGTGGCTCAGGCGGTAGAGCAGATCATCTACTGATCGGTTCACCTAGTCTGCATTTCAAATATCGTTGGGCAAGATACTAACTCCAAGTTGCTGTTTTTTCTGTGGAATGTGTGTCTGAATGTTGGTAGAAAGCACTAAGAAAATTGTGCTTGTGCGAATGGGAGTGAATACACAAGTTTTGTAAAGCGCTTTGAGTGCTCAAAATTGAGTAGAAAAGCGCTATATAAGAACCAGTCCATTTAAAACTCCCTGTCATGTTTTCACAAATACACATTAAATAGATCTGACTGATACAAACTGTAGGTTTAATATTAATGTTAACACTTCAGAAAAGCGATTACAGTTTTACCGGTGGTCTGTAAATCTTTCTCAGGTTTCCAGATGTTATGCAGCTGTCTGAGCCGCTCTTCCCCGCTCCAGATGACGATGCCTTCATCCTCGTGTTTCACTACAAGCTGTTCTCCCTCTTGACTGATGCAGAGTTCCTCCTGTTCCTCTTTGATCTGTGGAGGCTCTGTGTCCTCCTGGTCCAGATTGAAGTTCCTCTCCTGCTTCCAGACCTGCTGCCCAGCCAGATCTTCCTCCTCCTTACACTTCATGTTGATGTGGTACTTGAGGAACAAAGTAAAAAGAAAAAGATTAGACAGGTAAAGGCGCAGCCTCAGTCAGCAGGGCTGTACACTGTGAGCATGTTGCTCACATATGTGAGAGAGGTTTGTACAAATGTTTCAGAAGCACCATGTGACTCCCTCTCTTTTTTGGAAAGTCTCATTAATTCACTTTATAACTATTACTTTGAAGATAAATTTCTACTATCACAAAGATATTATGACCTCTTTAAAAACAAACAACGGCAACTACATGACTTAAATTCCATGTTTAGATGAAGGTAAAGGGCAATGCCTTTTGACAGGGGAAAAACCTCCACACAGAAGAATCTTACTTGGCTGAATCATAAATTATTCACCATGATTAAAACTGCAGATGAGCAATAATCTGCATTTTATTTTAGCCAAAGAGGAATGCTTCTGTTTGTCTGTGATCTGACTTTTTCTGCTGGGTCCAAATTTCATTTTATCCTGTGTAAGTTTGTTTCTCTTCCTGTTAACTAGCAAAGTCAAAATCACCTTGATTAATTTAACTTTAATTAAATTATAAATGTAATAATTTTATTGAACAATTAATTTCATTTCAATGAAAAACAATTACTTAAAAGAAAGAGATTACGTTGGCCATCTTTTAGTGAGTTAGACCCTGATTAAGGGGTATTTCTGAAAGTAAAGCCCATCTCTCAAAGTCCCTGCCGGCCTGCCTCCACCTCGGGAAGCCTGTGGGTGCAGACGGAGGTGAGGAGCACCACAGGCGGCAGAGGACTGTCTGTAGCTCCGGAGTGAGGCATCGTGAACCGAAGCAGACAGCGAACTGTGGCACAGTGCAGAAAACCGAAGCTTTCCCTCCCTGTTTGATTTTGATGTGTCTCATGAAAGTCTATTGTTAAAAGTTTACCTTTAAAAAAAAGGGACGCACTTGTTTGATTAGCTGCTCTCTGATTTTAGCCTGTTAGCTTACAGACTGAGCTCAGATCGTTCCTGTGTTAGTTCATTGAGAACATCACAGTTTCACATACCTGCTGCGTGACTTCATCTCGGGTCTCCGGCTGATATACAGCAGTCTGAGCCAGTGGCGGATCTCATCATCCTGGACGACTGTTTTTAATGTTTTTAACCACGGAGATTTCTTCTGCATCATCAGTCTCTCATTGCTAAACTCTCCCAGAAACTGAGGACAGCTGTGCGGTACGAGTTGTGCCATTTCCGCGCTTCTTGTTCTTCTATTGAATAGACGGCAGACTACACATGTCCAAGGGTAATACTGTCCTCCTCAGGCCATTGGCATCAAGTCAAAGCCTTAAGGTCAGGTACTTTGCGCATGGTAATTTTTTACGAACAGCAGAATCACAACACAAAGCGTGCCAAGGTTTATACTTTTAACTGTGACTGCCAAATAGATGAAAAAGTAGATGTTAAAAAAGAGACTTATAGTTTTGTCATTGGGCTGGTCGAATGCTATGAGTTACTGTCCCTTTGTCTGACCTTAGAGTCTTATTTTAAAAGGAAACATTACAATCCTTTAAAACGAGTATTTTCACCTCTGTCCCCCCCTCTGTACTTAGCTTTTTTGTTGTCATGTCAGTAATTGTCCAGTTGATGGCTCCCTTGGATCACAAGCCTCTCTGATGAGTCCAAGTGAATATATTCTTAATGAACAGCTTTGAAGAATTTGTGACCAACTTTGTTTAATTCGGAACATCATCATCATGAGTCAAACTTGGATCTACAAAATATTTAACAAAAACAAACATCACTGAATCATAAGGTATTTGCTCCAACTCTTAGTCCAGAAACACATGAGTGAACTAGATCAGCTGCTCCTCCAGTTCAGCTGTGGATTTATATAATTATTTATATTTGTAAAGTGGATATGCAGTTTTTCAGTACTAATATAAGCATTTTATATCATCGCTTTATTGACAGATGTTTTTGTTTAAAAAGGTGTTCAAGGTCAGGTATCAGTTTGAAAAAAACAAACAAACACACTGAATTGAACTGACGTCCTACTACAGAATACTAAATGTCACCAAATAACCAAACATATAGAAACAATCTGATCCTGAGACAAAATAGCCCAAACAGATCTCTCTTT